TTTAATCTTGAATTTTCTAAATTTATTACACAAAAAATTTTTTCAAAAAAATTAAATTTATAAATATTCTATTCGAAATTTAAACGATTATTAATCAGTTTCCTAGAATTTTAATGGAAAATATTAAAAATTTCAAATAAAACATTTTATGTACATTAACGTGCATTTAAATTTTATTTAAGAAAAAAAAAAATTAAAAATAATAACATGATGAAAATTAATTGAAATTTATTGCTCTTTTCATGAATGAAAGTGAAAGTTTAAAAAAAAATAAACAAAAAAAAAAATTAAAAAGAAAAAATTGAAAACAAGAATTTTTCTTCTTTGCCAAAAAATTAAAAAAAAAATACAAAAATAAAAAAGAATTTTCTTAAAATGATTCGTTTTCGATTTCTACGAATTCCTGGGCAATTTTTAAGAATTTTTCGAACCAAAATCATTTACACGTTTTTCATTTTAATTATAACAATGTATGTGTGTAAATGTATATAACCTGCAGGTGTTCAAATTAAAAAAATATATATATATGATCTCCCATGTTAATATCTACATATATTTGCCGTACACAATAAGCATTCGATTTAAAAAACATGTGATGTAACGAAAGCGACTTACTTTTTCCATATTCCAAATTCAATTTTGAATTTCAAAAATGGATATTGAAAATTTCTATTTCCAAGTGCTAAAAATATGATATTCCGCCCAACTCAAATGATCACCTATGCAGAAATTCTTTAATTGGGTTCACTTAACAATATTTTACATTTACAAACTAAAGTAGAAATTTAAGTACACATACTAGATTTGATAAAATATTTTAATAGATTAAATCATAAGTTATTAGTTAAAAACAGCTTAACTTTAATTATATTTAATATTAAATAGCAGAAAATAAGGGTTCCGCCAGTACAATAATTATGTATACAAGTTACAGAATTTTGGACAATATAAAATTTGAAATTATGTTTGGGGCCGAGTTTTAATTCATTCGAAATATAATTGTTTTGCATACTCTTCTGACTCATCTGTGTAGTAGTAAAGTAATTGAAAACCTTTAATTATAGTGAACAATTAAGCTTAAGTTAGGTTTGAATTTAGGTTTTGTCAAATTAAATGTTCATTTTTTAGAAATTTCACTGTAGTATATGTAAAATAATATTTAAACATTGCTACAATAAAAATACTCGTTTATTTTTCTTCATTTTTTTTTCTTGTTAAATAAAATAGGGAAATATTTTTGAAAAAAATCGCTAGCAATTTAATATTTCCCCTTCGTCGGTCTTTTCCCCTTTTCTCTTTCAATTTCCCTTTCTATAAACATTTTAAAATCTCACGCATTTTAACCGCATTCTTTTGGTTCCTGTCGTGGTGTTTTACATTTATTTTTTGCTATATGAAAATTTAAAATTTTAAAAATATTTATAAACATTTTGATCTACATACATATTTGCAAACAAAAAAAAAAGCAAGAAAAAATGTAAATAAAAAATTTTCTTTTTATTTTTAATTTTAAAAATGATTGTATGTTTATCTTTTTCCTCGTATTTTGTTTTTGTATCTAACCAAAAATGGTTAAATAAAAAAAAAGATTTCATAAATTTTAAATTGGGGTGTTCTTGACTTTGAAATCTCGAAAAAGAAAAAAAAAAATTTTATTTTTATTATGTTTTTTTTTTCTGATTTTGTTATTTTAATACAAGGTCATTTTACAAATAATTGGGCGGAAAACTCTAATGAGCACTAATAAATATTCAAATTTGCATATATACAAAATATAAACACATATTATAAATACAAACAAACCAAAAATTGCAGGAATTCCTGTATCATTTGAGAAAATGTGGTGATGTTTCAAAATTTCTTTTTTGTTTTTTTTTTTGTTTTGTGAAAATTTTCAAAAGAAAAGAAATTCTAAGAAAAGAAAATTGTTCACCTATTTTAAATGCGCTTTTTGTTTTATTTGTTTTACTATATATTGGTGTTGCGTGTTGAGATCGTAAATTATGGTAGATGACTAATGATACAAATGCCTATCTGTTGATTCGAATTAAATTTTGCGATGGTTCTATTAAAGGGGATGAGTTTTTTTTGGTTTATTTGAAACTTTTTTAAATTTTTCCAAATTTTTAATTCTCAAAATAAAATTTTACAATTTTATTATAAGGTACACAATTCGAGTCTGAATATTGTGTTCAAAAAATTTAATACTTTATGAAATTTTTTTAAAATGTTTGGTTCTATTGCGACCTCAAAAAAAAAAACAATTTAAGTATAGAATAAAAAATCACATTGAATATTGCAGCATAAATTTTAAATGGATTTGATTTTTGAAACTTCTAATATAATTCTATTGTTTACAATTAAAGTTTATTTCAAATTTAAGTTGCCAAAATAATGAGATTAAATTTATGCTTTAAATAAATCGGATGTGGAAACTCCCACCACTGACTTATAAAACTAAGCTATAATCAAAAATTTTTTTTATAAAAAACTGTAAAACATTCAAATAGAATTTCTATTAAAAAATACTATGCTTGATCACATTAAAATGATATTTCTTAAAATAGTCTTTATTGAAGCACAATAAATAATTTAGGACCACTCACACATGCATTAATCATGTGAAAAAAATATATTCAATTCATAGCTCATTTATAAAACGAAGGTGTAAGTGTGTTTAAAGTCTTGTATCCTTCTTATTACGAGTAAATTAAAAACTTAATTCTATATACAAATAAAATAAAAAAAAATTTATTCTTTTCTTCCCTTATTCTACATTGTTATATAATTACACCTTTTATACTTCTTTATTCAACTTCAACATACCTTTTTATTTCTACGTATACATTCAATTAAAATATTGTACGATGAGAGAAAGTCACCATAAGAAAATGAAGTATTGAACATAATTTTGGATTCAAAATAAAAATTAAATGAAATAGTTGAAATTGTCAACTATAAGATACCAATTTAAACAAAAAAACTTAGTGCTTTATACCTAATTTAATGCGGTGCGGTAGGTTTTCAATATTGAATTCAAAATTCAGTTGACGTGCGGAAATTTCGTGAGGTTTTATATATTGTATATGCATTAATAATAGTTGTGACAGCCGCTGCCGCGTTAATTCTGGTAAAGAACTTTTTTTTTCATTAAAAGTTTAAAAATTATAATGACAATATTTGATTTTTACACGGTTTTTAAAAAATAATGATCCGAATTTTAATCAGTCGAAATTTTTTTCTAATACCTTTAAATATAAAAATATTTCCTATTCCCGACTATCTCCGCTCTCTTTATTCCAAAACTCAGTTACATATATTCTGTACAATTTATATATTTTGTGACCTTTATTCTCGACATGAAAAATGAAATAAGAGATTTATTACACTTTAAAGATTTATTTATTTTGTGTAAACAACAAATAAAAGCAATTTCAAGTTTTGCATTTTTCTTTTTTTTTTTATAAGAATTAAAATTTTATCTGACATCATACATTTATTATTGTAAAACTATTTTTAGAAATCATTTAAAAGCATTACAATTTGAAGGGATACGTAAAAGAGAAAAAAAAAAACAACTTTTTTTTTATTTTAAATAATGAAGAAATTTATTTGACGCATGTACATAACATTAAAAACCCAGATTGCCTATCAACAGGAGCTTTCTCTTTTGAATAGGGAGAAAAAAAAACACAAAAAGGTTTCACCTAGCTGTTTGAGAAAATGGAGAAAAAAAAAAATACTCCTACACTTATGCAATTTTTTACATTTAATTCTGTTTTCCCTTTATTTTTTGTTTTTTGTAAATTTACGAAATTTCCAAACTAACGAAAGAACGTAAGTGGTAATTTATTGAATTACTTTTTAACATGTTATAAAATCATACAAGACAATGAACTTACGTAAAAAGAAGGATAGTAGCTGTCTAAATAATTCGAAATTAGTGCGTATGTAAATAAAAGAAATAATAAAATTTTAAAGTTATAAGGTCCTCGAATGTAAAAATTTTGTGATTTAAGTAAGTCATTTTTCTCTGAAATTAAATGAGAAGCATAAAATTTTTAATATACGAAAATTTTTTTTTCTCCTTGAGAGAATCTCACTTGGGAGAATTTAAATTTTAATTAAGTTTCAAAAGTGAATGAGTTAACAAGGCGTGGTGCCCAGCCTTTCGTGGACATACGAAAATTAACTTTAAATAACAATAGTAATTAATAATGTTCTAATTTATATTTATTAAAAAATTATTGATTTTCAAATTATAAAGTCCTTAATACGAAAATAAATAATTATTACGGTCAACATTCTCATTTTCTCCTCTTACTTTTAAGCTTCCTTTAAATAGTTTCCAATATTTAATTTATGTTATTACCTTCTTTGAATGATTTTATATTATAATTTCAAATTTGAAATTGAATTTTTACTAGAGAACCCAACCCACTCTAAAAATCTTATTTAATATTTAATATTTTTTTGAATATAATAGAAGTATCAGTACTCCTTTTACAATTATAATTTGACGTAAATCACACCCCATCATGTTTTGAGACACCCAAATGTTACGTAATTAATTGTACATTTTTATTATCCTTACATAAAACTAATAATAATAATAATATTAATACAGAATTCTCAAATTAACTTATATGTATACGTTTGTTTTAAATACCTAAACCTTTTACGAGTATTCTAAAGAAAAAATAAAAAGTTAAAAATATCTTTTGTTTCTTCCCTTCGTTCTAAGTTTATTTGTACTTAAAGGTTTTCGATTTAATTTCTCTTTTCTTACTTTTAAAATAATAAACTAATAACTTATTACTAATTTTTTTATACAATTGTATATACTTACATTGTTTATATACAAAAAAAAATTACCCTATATAATAAAAAAAAAATAAAAATAATTTTATTAATTTTATTCATTTTTTTTCCTTTTTCTTTTTTTACTCCATATTTACATAACCCGAACGTACGTATATACCATGTAAACGAATATATAGGGGATTTTAATATTGATTTTGAGGGAGCTTGTGCTGCTGCTGTTGCTGCTGCTGCCGGTACTAGTGGTGCTCCAAATATATCTGAACAAGAAACCAATGAAGATGGTAGTGCATTAAATATAAGTGATGTCAGTAAGTATAAATATAAATATTATATATAATACCATAAAATTCTAAACATAATTATGTATATAAATAATACAGTACACCTATATATACAATGAAAGCTTATGACCAAGCAAATAGGAATGATAATATATAACTAAACATGTGTATATGTGAATGTATAATATGTCATTGTATAAAATATTGATGAAATTCATGAAATGTTTTTGAATAAAATCGAAAAATTATTTAAAGGATAAGAAATAGCAAGTAAGAGAAGAGAAGTAGTACTGCTATTTTTAAAACGATAATACAGTGTTATACAAGTATATAAATTTGTATATGTAATTTTTACATATACCTAATGTAGTTCTAAATGTACATGTATATAAATATTCATACTCATTTGTACGAATATTTCACTGTTTCGTATATTTTGGATTACGTATTCTAATTTATTGTAACTTGATTTTTTCCAAAATAGAAGATACGATCACGAAAAATTTCTGCTACTGTGGAAATACTGTGTTTAGCATTAAAAATGTTTTCTCATAATTTTATTAAAAGAAATCTTTTATATAATAATGTCGTAAATTTAAAACGAGCTCCATTGTTTTAACTCATAAAACATATTATTTACGTTAAAAATATTTGGGGTACTTAAAAAAACAACTTGTTACTTATTTCGACATAATTACTAACTATTATTCCAAGCTCAAGCCAAGAAAGAATTAAAGGAAAATTAAACAAAAAGTACTTTTAAAATGCTCTCCCCCAAAATATACCATTTTCGACTTATTACATATTCTTGTATGGGGGCTTTTAAGATTTGTTCATTTGTAAAATGAACAACATTATTATTATTTTAATAGGTATATCCTTACGTGAATTCTGGTCATATCTTTACTTAAATTACAAAACAAAAGAAACAAATACAAAAGATTTTTCAATGATTTTGTATAGAATCGTTTACACGTATATACGAGCTATGAAATAAGTCCATATGACTTAACATCTGTTCGAAATGTTTGCGTAGCAATTAATGAGTTTAGAAACTTTATTAGAAATTGATGTGGTAACTAACATAGAAGTTGAATTTGATATTTGAAAAGATCAGAAACCGAAATTATCGAATTTTAGAATGGCATGGCAACTCTTTACTAAATTGGTAAATTTTGCAAATTACAAACATTTATTTCTCATAAATAATAATTATAAATTAAAGTTGTAAATTACACTATGGAATTTTTATCCGAATTCACAATAAAGATTTTAATTCACAATTCCGATTAAGAACCAATTCATCAGTGATTTTATTATATACCGCGGATTTGGGTTCACATACCTTAATTCTCTTTCTTATAAAATTATTACACACAATTTTTGTTCGTTCGTTTTCTTGGTTTTTGCTTTTTTTTTTTTCGGAATTTTTAATGTATAAACGTAAGGAAGGATATCTAAGGAGCACACCTTAGTAATAATTTAAGGAAAAAATAAAAAGAAAAATAACAAAAAAAGAAAAGAAACAAATAAAACATGAAACGAGAAAATTTCGTCTGAACTAAAAATAACTGTGACATAAAAACTTATTTGATACCTTAGAGACACCTAGATGAGAAGTTGAAATGAAAAGGACTTACAGTATTTTATTAAGAGTATTATATAAGAGAACATGATTCTTTAATAAAGTTATTCCTTAAATAGTAAAACGTATACTATATTTCATTTTTGTTATACTCTTTATAAAATATATTTGTATATAATATAACATTCGTGTTTACCAACACATATACAAAAACAACATAATAATATAAAAATCCCTTTTGTGTTTTCATTTTTAATTAATTCTAATCTAATTACTTTTAAAAAAAGTTTAAAAAAAAATTCTTACGATACGTTAATTCATCTTAAAACTGAGAATACAAACTTTAAAATTTAAAAAAATTAAAAATGGAAAGTATTTTATAAAAATATTGTAATTTTGTACCATGTTTCAAGAATTTTTAAAAGCAGAAAGTCATACTAAGTTTGGTATCCCTAAAATTATAACACTAGATTTTCCTACATGTTCTGTACATTTAACTATTATTCCCCTTATTTGGCCACTAAATTCTTTAGTTTTCATAAATTTCTTTAAAATTCATTAAAATTTTATACTTTTTATTATGTAAAATTAATAAGTAAAATTAATAGATAAAATTAATTCAACATTATCACCAGCAGTGATTGAAAGTAGTGTCAAAAAAAGGCAATAATATAACAGCTCCAAAAAAAAATTTGTCATTGGGTTTCACAACAAATTCACCAAAATTTCGAAAAAAATTTACAGAAGAATATTTACAAAAAAATTGCATATCATTGGGAGTTCCTTTTAAGTTTCACTTTCCTTTTTACAATTACAAAAATAGTTAAAATTTAATAGAAATTCTGCAACGATACAGTTTCTTTGAAAAATCAATTCTTTTACTTTTCATACAATTTTATTATTTAAAAATATAAAAAATAATTACATAATTCTGATAGAACGAAAAGTAGAACATAGTATATAAATAAGAGAAATGACACATTTAATATATGCGTGAAATGAGTCGATTATAATATTATGCTTTGTGACTCATAAAGAAATGTTCTAATTAATAATTTTGACAAATATTTATTCAAAAAATATGAAACGCACACATACACACATATATTTAAATTATAAATTTTCTCTAAAAATTAAATGAAATTTTAAATTCTAAATTTTCTAAAAAAATTAATATTTTCGAATTCAATTGAGTTAAAATCCTATAAGTGATTTAAAATATTTTCACATTTGAAACAATTTTATTTTACAAAACTTCATCTAAAATAGTAACTACATTAAGTCCTTGAGATACGACATTTTTGGTTCCAGAAATTTATGTCGTAACTCGAATTGTCGTTTGAGAAGGGGAACAAAATGTATGGAAACGAAAAGTGAATTAGACAAACTATTTTATAATATAATTCAACTGTTTTTAAAAAAAGGTAACAAGGTTTGAAAAGAAAAAAGAAAAAAGGTAACTGTTTTTAAAAAAAGGTAACAAAGTTTAAAAAACCGACAAAATAGTATAACGAAACCAAAAAAATTCAATTTTGTAACAAAAATAAATAAAATAAAATCTGATTAAGTTGATATATATGACTTCTGATGATATATATATCATATATATCATCATATATATCTATGTACCTATGTTAATATAATTCGTGTTTTTAAATACTGACTAGTATTTTTAACTAGAAAGAGTTCATTATTGAAGTATGTGCTTCAGATTTACGTCCTATAACTAAATTCGGTACAGATTTTTATTCAAAAATTAGTAAAATTTGTCAAAAAAAAAACAATGTCGCAACCCGAATAAAAATTATCCAAATTAATATCATGTCGTAACTCCATGTCGAAAAAATGTCGTATAAGAATATGTCGTAAAATTAATGAATAAAGATGTCGTATTAGAAGATGCTGAATTTAAAAATAATCGTATTATGTCACATATAGTTAATAATTTCTACATATTTAAAATTTACCTCAGAAATTTTATCAAATTTTATATATAAATTTTTTAAATTTTATTACAAAGGACGAAATTATATTGGCGCCTAAATGTTTTATATAGCCTATAATTTGTATATGAAACAACAAATTTATTTTAAATTCTTAAAAATTAGTTGGAGAACAATGAAAATATAGTACAACATTTTGTATATGTCAAAAATAAACTTATTTATAATAATTATAGCTTTAAAATTTCAATGCCTTCCCATACATACCAAAAATACAAAAATAAAAAAAAAAATTTTTTTTATTAACAGCTGATCATAAAATATTTAAATTTTAATTTACAAGAAAAATAAAATGTATTTTCTTTTGTTTATTACATTTTTTTTTATTACTCCTATATTAAATTTGAAAGAAAAATTTCGCACGGAAATGCCTTAAAATTTATTTTTATTATGAGTACATCGCGTAGATGTCGTACAAGATGTGAATTATTATATTATATTGTGTTAAATTTGGGTACATGGTACATACAGTGGTCTACATTTTTAAATTATTTCTTAAATTATGAAATTAATTCCCTGAAAATTTTTTTAGTATCTACTCGATTAATTGTATAGAAAAATAATTTTGTAATTTATCTCTACAATATCTAATCAAAATATTGTAATTAACTAGTGTTAGCAATTTTTCAATAATCAAATTTGTTGATTTTTTTAAGAAATTTGATATAAATTATTTCTCAAACAAATCTGAAAGCATAAATAAATAAAAATTTAAAAACAAATGTCAAATTTTTATAAACAACTGTTTGACATTTATATGTAGATAAATGTGTTTACATATACATAAATTTTTTTTTTCATTTTTTCTCTTGTCAATTTGCCAAAAAAAAATGTTTATTTGTTTTTTTTTTTGGCACAAATGAATTTTATTTATTTTATTGTATGTACCACAGTTTATTTATTCTTTAAACATATTCAAATTTTCAAAAGAGTTGGAAACTATTTCAAAAGTGTTTTATTTCTAATTGTACCTTCATAATTCGAATTCGAAAATTAATTAACTTAATTATTAAAGCATAAATTTACGACGCAAATTTGTACAATTTTCATGACTGTGCAATTTTACCCACCTACTGTAGTGAAAAATGTCTGAGTTTTCAAAAGTCATATTTAATTTAAAGAAAAAACCGATCTCAAATATTCAAATTTTTTTCTAAGTGATTTACTTTAAATTATGCTTGCTTTTTCCTTAAATTTATTTTATACGGAGCCATAAAATCAATTAAAATTACGCATTTTTGAGTAAATTTAGAAAAAACAATCTTTTTATTACCGAAGATTATTATTGTACAGAACACGAATAATTACAATTAAAAATGAATCATAAATCAAAGGCATAACCTATTATTCTTAATAAATGAAGCTATTCAAAAAAAATACCTGTGGTGATAAACTAAAACTTTCTAAGTCAGATCTTAATATACTTTCCCATTATATTC